AGGATGGAATAGGAGAAACCCTAGGTCTCCTTGGCAGCGGCCAAAATTTTCTTAATAGAGACCCAGAAACACACCAAATCAAAGAAAGTTTGTACAAATGGGATTGCATGAAATTGCAGAACTTCTGCATGGCAACGGACATAGATAGGAAGATCAATAGAAAGCCCACAGATTGGGAAAAGAACTTCACTAGCCATACAACAAAGAAGGGTCTCATATCTAAAATATATTTAGAACTCAAAAAATTAAATCTCCCAACAACAAATCCTCAAAGCAACAACTTCTCAATAAATAAGGGGCTAAAATCTTACAGAGAAACATCTCTGAAGAGAAAAAAAGCATGGCCACTAGACACCCTTCCTTTTTCTTTTCTTACACTGTTACATCCACCTGGATATTTGCATATTGCTCCCTAAGGAGGACTTTAATTTCTAAGTCTGAAATAAAGGCTCAGTTCTGAACTTGCCTTGACTTGTCAAGATTCCTGATTTCACTCCTAAAAATGAAGTCTGTCTCTCAGCACTGTGGCTGTTAATGCTCTGGATCCCTGGTAAGAGTAAAGGGAGTGAGAGTGTGTGGCAAGAATTATCAGTGGTAATTTATCCATGTGTTAGATGTTCATAGTAGGGCAATGAGGTTTAGGTCTGAGAGAGTGAGGAACAGTCCAGAAAGGCAAGGACCTGTGCTTGAGTGAAGTAAAAGTAATGTATGCATGGCTCTCTATATTTATATATAATCTTACATTCTGCCTTATTCTAATTTCAGGATCAAGTGGAGATGTTGTGATGACCCAGACTCCAGTTTCCCTGCTTGTCACCCTGGGAGAGCCAGCCTCCATCTCCTGCAGGTCTAGTCAGAGCCTTCTGCATAGCGATCGAAACACCTATTTGTATTGGTTCCTACAGAAGCCAGGCCAGTCTACACATTGCCTGATCTATTGGGTTTCCAAACAAGACTCTGGGGTCCCAGACAGATTCAGTGGCAGTGGGTCAGGCACAGATTTCACACTGACAATCAGCAGGGTGGAAGCTGAGGATGTTGGAGTTTATTACTGCATGCAAGCTACACATCTTCCTCCCACAGTGATACAGCCTTGAACAAAAACCTCCCATCTGGATGGGTGAGCTCTCCTCATGGCTGGCTGGTCTGGGGAGCAGCCCAGCAGATTGTGTGAGTCTGTCTAGGAGGAAGATATTGAGGTCAATATGAGTCACTCTGAGTAGAGATGAAGAGTATATGACTACACAACAAAATGCCATCTATAACAACCAGGAAAATAATTACCTGAGTATAAAGAGCAGAAAAACCATTAGGTATTTATTGAAAAATGCAATTCCCTCTTCAGTAATATTATAGCCAACCAATAATCTAAAAATCAAATGTCTGCTGTGATGATTATTCTCTCTGTGATGGAATTTATAATAATTCCTTTCAGAACATGGTAGCCTACATCTTTTGCTATGCGTTCTGTTCAGAACCTAGAAGAACAGTTGTGCCTTTTCTAGCTTCTGCTCTGTGTGTTCATCAAACCCTGCCTGACCATCAAGCCATCACCAGAGTTTGATCAGTGTCTCTTGGCTGGATCAACCTAGGGCATATACAAAATTGCACAAAGCACAATAATGTCTGCCTTCTATGTCCTGGGGCTCTGGCTCTACTTAAGAGAATGGTGTGTGGTGAAACCCTGTAATATGGTTCTTAGGTCCCAGAAGTCTGAGACTGAACCCTTTTTCAATGAGTGCTATATTCACAATCTTACCTGGTCAACCTCTGTGTTTTTATATTAAAAAAACCATGTCAAGAGGGCATCATTAATCTTATTTGCTTTGTATCCACTTCTATCACCTTAGACACCTGGAACTATGAAATCCCAGAGGCTAGGACTTGGGGAATTCTCAAGTCTCCACCAGTGTCCAGTGTGCATCTGCTTCAGATGGTATCAATTGTTTCGCCATGATGCTCTCCAATCCATCTGGGAAAAAGTGGCATGAAGTTGGAAATGCTCTGATTTCATCAAGGTATCATTCATAGAAGAAGTGTAGGTCTGGAATGTATATGAACTTATGGAATAGCTTTAAGTTACTTATGGAAACATCTTGACAGGAACAATTAATGCCATATTTACCCACAATTGTAGCATTTTGTGGAAGACCAGCCAGAAATGTCAGAATTGAATCTCAGTTCTCCTCTCTGCTCAGGCATTTTATCAGAAGTTCCCATCAGATTTCTAATTCTCACCTGGGCTCCTCATTGTCTCCTCACAAGTCTGTGACTCATCAGAAAAGAAAAATAAAGTTTCACTGGGACTCTGCACACTGCTATTGTTGTATGATTGACAAGTCAGCTGTTATTATTACTTCCTATCTAACAGTTTTGACTGGAGCTCATGTGGAGTTATTTCCAGATATTATTATTGAGTCTATTATCATATCAACAGAAATTCATTGCAATAATGGTAATTACAAAAGGAGAAATTATATTAAATATTTGTTGTCAATTTAACACTGGAATACCTTTCTAGAAAAGCACATGCACAGGCAAACACACATATGGAATATAACGGAGGAATATTTGTTTACGTATGTATATATATATATATATATATATATATATATAATTAAGCATTTCTACTCATTCTTTTCCTGAAACCAGAAATATTCTTATCATCTCTGAGCACTGGATACAAATGCAAAATAACTGATTCACCTTTCTTCAAGGACTGATGCTCTGCATTTCAACAAGTTCACAGGTTTCCATGGGATGTTTTGAAATCTAAACTTTAGGAGATTTTGACCTCAACGAAGACCTTTTAAGAAAAAAATGGTAGCAACACAACTACATCTTTGTCTAATTAACAAAAATTAATTTTTGTTCTTGGATGCCAAACTGCAAATTCATGATTATTTCTCAGTTATATGATCCAGTCCTTTGAAAGTATAATGGAATAAATCCCCTGTTCAGGGGATATTTGGACATAAATTTGTTACAATAGTTTGACCACATCAGTATGTATATAATCCTAAGTGGTCATTTCCTCTTATGTCTCTGTTCCAGATCAAACAAATCCACACAAAGGAGACAAGACCAGGGACCTGTAACAAAATGAAGCTCTATTGGGCACATCAGTGCAATTGTGAATTTGTCTTTGCACTAACATAAATGATTTGTGTTATGAGCCACTAGATTTAGAGGAGTTTGTTACACTTTATTATTATTGAAATGATTACTGGTTTTATATGAAACATGAACGAGTAGAAAGGATGCATTTTTATGAGAATGATTACATAATATTAGTATTTATAAAATATATATAAAGTGATAGAATACAGAGACAAATATGAGATTATATAAATAAAATAATGCAATTGCATCTACCAAAGAACCTTCTGAAAAAGAAACAATTAATTTGCAATTGACCCATGAACATCAATAAATATCAGAGGAATTAGAAATAGGCTTACATATATGAACTGATATTCACATGCAAATGTTAACAGAATGTTTCAGGATTAAAGGGAAGTCTCTAATAGCCATACACCCGTTCTGCTCTAGCCATGCCTACAGCTTCTTGTAAATCTCTTAGAAACAATTCCTTCTGCTGAAGTCATGTCATGAAACCCCCAATACTTTTATATTTACTTATGACTTGTCTACTAGCCTCCATAAGAGGGGCTTTCAGGGTAGCACTAAACTCTGGTGAGTTAGTCATATTCTCACGACACTCATCAGATGTTGGAATCATCAACACTTTTAAGAAAGAGCCTTGAGTAAGGGAACATTGAGCATGAGTAATTACAATAAGCAGCAGGAACAGTAAAAGATTAATAGGCACTCCTATACAGTGAAGAAAAGAAAAACAGGAACAGAAACACATCTTTCCCAGGGGCTTGCCAGCCTTTCCAGGAGGTAGGCCTCTTTGAAGCCCCATTCTCTGAGGTAGACTTCGATGAAGTCCCATTCTCAGAGATAGGCCTCTTTGAAGCCCCATTCTCTGACGTAGACTTCGGTGAAGTCCCATTCTCAGAGATAGGCTTCTTTGAAGCCCCATTCTCTGAGGTAGACTTTGGTGAAGTCCCATTCTCAGAGATAGGCTTCTGTGAAGCCCCATTCTCAGGTCTTAAAGCAGGTGTTCCATGCTAAGCAGACTCCACCGGAGTAGGCGTGGCACTTTCTGCCATCATTATGTTGTAATAGCCCACTCTTTCCCAGCCTTCAGACTTCTAAGTGTGAGTTGGTGCTGCACTATTGTTTCTTCTGCTAGCATATAGAGATGCATCCTCTGTAACTTGTCCCAAGTAATTCTATCTTGTTGTCGTAGTGATGCTCTGCATGTCAAACTGTAGCAGAGCAAGCCCTCCTTCCTGTAGGTGAGCAGCTAGCTAAGAAAGATTTCATGATAAAAGCAGAGACAGTCTCATTAAGGGATACCTTTTGCAGGGTGTTTTTTCTCATATCTTGTCATTTGAGCCTGATGCTATTTTACCACCAGATGGAAGTCTAGGACCAGGTTTATATTATTGGGTTACATACAAATAAAATAGGAGCTCAGAACTTGGTAGGCACAGTTAAGGGATTTTAGTGTTTTTGGGTGCTTAGGGTTATCGATAGTCATCAATTGCTCTGTAAGTTATTCCTATTAAGGTCACTCACCATAGTCCTTCCTGGCAATTCAGTCATACTGTGTTAATGTCCAGATAAGTCTCAATAACCTCTTAGAGTTTATGACTACTATTTTCCAATTTTCACTTCTCTTCCTATAGTCTAACTGTGAAACAGCCTCTTGTTTTCCTTAACCTTGTCTCCTTCAAGGGCAATTAACACAGAATTAGAATTAAGAAACCAGGAAGTCTGTCCACAGATCTTAAAGGATCAATAGAGCATCTCCTTATAGAGCACAATATCTGGACTAGTAAGAAAAACATTTTCTCTGCAGGGAAAATTCTTCTGCTTTGCTCTGAACTAGGACCACTTGGCATTTGCTCTGCTATACCATATGGAGTTTACCCGACAAAGCCATCACCCCTAGTCAGAGCTCAGGCTGTCAGTGGGTTGTGGAATGTTTTGGCCTGTGTCCATGAAGTCACTAATCATGTATGCTGCCCTGGGTGATAAAAGTCATTAGGAGAGGAGCTGTCCATGGTAAGTACTGGACACAAAGCTTCTTCATATTTGAGGGTAAGATCCAGTGTTTCTCCTGGGCTCCTGTTTCACTTTCTCCAGACCTATTCATGCCATTGTGTGTCTTCAGAATGGTGAAGGTCTCTGTTTCAGCAGCAGGAGCACAGGGGTGGGTTTGGCAATTCATGAGTCTAAAGGGTTTGGAGTAGGAAGGATTCTGTGGAGTTGTATAACCAACCCTGATTTTAGTATACCAATTCAATATATCTAAATGTAATATCACATACACCAACAAACAGAATTGCATCTATGTATATTCAAAGTAGGACTACAGAATGAGCTTGTCTATCTTCTATTGTGTCTAAGTTGAAGCCCCATCCTAAGTTCTTCATTCTCAGCCTTATGCTTATGGCTTTAGCTATGATCAGATTTTCTTTTGATAGGTCTGACTGGGACTTGTTGGGTCATTGAATCTGTGAAGAGTTACTGTGATGATCCAGTTCTGTGCCTGTGCCCATCACTGTAGCTGTGCTAAGGCCCTGCTGATTTGCATGTGCCAAGAGCACAGCCCACTGCCTGAGCATTTCTAATAGCTGGTCTCAACCTGTGCAGGGGTCAGCCTCATTCAACACACAGTATAGCCATGGCAGCTCCTGCTCAGCTCCTGGGGTTCCTGCTGCTCTGTCTCCAAGGTAAGGAGGGTCAGCCTGGAGATCTATTCAGACCAGTGAGATCAGTGCTGCCTAGCACTTCATGGAAGTCTTCTTGTATTTATGATTAATACTATGGTGATTTTGTTTTGTGTTTCTCTACCAGGAGCCAGACGTGACATCCAGATGACCCAGTCTCCACCTTCACTGTCTGTTTCTCCAGGAGACAGAGTCACAATCACTTGCCATGCCAGTGAGAATAATTATAACAATTTACACTGGTACCAGCAGAAACCAGGGGAAGCTCCTAAGCTCCTGATCAGTTATGTATCAAATTTGCAACCTGGGGTTCCACCCAGGTTCAGTAGCAGTGGGTATGGGACAGAGTTCACTCTCACCATCAGCAGCCTGCAACCTGAAGATGTTGCCACTTATTACTGTCAACAAAGTACTAGTTGCCCTCCCACAGTGATACAAGTCATAGCATAAACCTCTTAGGGAAGCAGAAGTGTGAGGCTCAGCTGCCCCAGCTGCTGCTCCTGGTGCCTCTTCCTGCTAAGGGTATTTCATAGAGGAAGCCAAGTTCTGAAATTATTGGAATGATGTTTTTGATTTGTAGCAGTGGCAAGGATTAGCACTGTACTATCACTCCAGTTTATCCCACTGTTTTTCCCAGCACAGACATGTTGATGCCTCTTCTAATAGAAAGGAAAGATATTTCCTCTGAAGATTGTGAGTTTTGGCATCATTTACTATTCATTCAGCTACATTGAAGCCAGGCAAGTTAATAAGCACCAACTGTTTTAATACAGAGAACTAGATTCTAAAGTTTCCATGTTGATTGTGGACAATGACACTAGTAGAAATGAGATTATTTGGTGCATTCATAGGGCTTAGCTGTGTTAAAGTTTAGAATGTCTCATCATGTGATCCTCTGTCATGCAGAGAGAGCCAGGTGCTCTAAGCACCTTTGCAGGTAACCTGGATTTACCTTTGTTCATGTATCTGACTGCTGATTTAAATAAATTTAAATCCTTTCCTGTGCCCCTCAGTCTCATAGGAATTTCAATCAATCAACTCTTCAGGAAACCATAGGAGGGGCAATTGCTCTGGAACAAAACAAAACAAAACAGAAGGCTTCCAGAGTAATAGCACTGACAGCTAATAAATGTTCCACAGGCTAGGGTAGTAACTATGGCTCAACTCTCAAATTTTTCATTTAGAGAATAACCCTAGAATATAGTTGAATGTATTTGAGCCAACATTGACTATTGATCTTTCTTTACTTCTCTTTGCATATCAGGAAATAATTGTACTTGAATACCAAAGGACTAGTTCTTTCAGGTAGAAATCTATTTGTGTGTGTGTGTGTGTGTGTGTGTGTGTGTGTGTGTGTGTGTGCTGGAACTAATAGTATATTTGGAAAGAGTTCAGACATTGTACTCTAGCCCAATCTTCATTCAGAACCTGACTCTCCTACTTATTATTTTTCTAATAGAAGTTGAATAAATTGGGCATATTATGGGAATAGGTATATAGTCTGGTTGTGAGAATGAAAAGAGATAATTGGCATAAAATGTCTGCCATGGTATCTAGCATATCATCAGATATATACTAATACCCTTTGTAGTTGTTTTCCTTGCATTCAACATTTCTAATTCCAGACAGTGTCTTTGAAAAATGGCCTTCCCTCTATCCTGTATTATATATTAAGGGATTCCCATCTACATCCCCTTAGAAATTTATCTTTTGGTCAGAATCATAGGACAATTCTTTACTGAGCTAAGAATATTATTTTAATAGCAGAAATTATGATATTACTCTTATTGCTTTTCATTTTTCCTCATTCCATATTTCCATATTGGAGAATGGAGTATTCATTTTAAAGGGTTCGTTAACTGAGTGTCACAAATTTGTGGACCAGAACCAATAGAAATTTCCAATCTCTTATCTCTGGATGATGTAATTCCAAAATTAATATCTCCATTCATCTCTAATCAAGAAGTTTATGTCTTAGCAGCTGTTTTAATGATGTGCCAGGAAAAATCTCAATCATTGCTGTAGAAACAGAGACATGAAAACATTGGGTTCAATGCTTGCTATTTCAGCTTGTGGAATCTAATTTGACTGTGAAATTCGTAGTTGTGATCACACCACAAAAATACAGGGATTGCAAAAATTCATATGGAACATTAAAGACCCAGAATAGCAAAAACGCTCCTCAATGGAAAGAACACTGCTGGAGGAATATCAATACCAAATTTCAAACTCTACTATAAAGCCATAGTAATCAAAACAACTTGGTATTGGCATAAGAACAGACC